CTCTCACACTTTGCTCCTCTGCACTGCCCCCCATGTCTGTGCACCTGCTACCTGTCCCTCCTAGCTGCCAGCCCCCAATCTTCCAGTGCCATTGGCCTCCAGACCCCCACCCACCCCCAAACCCCTGCTGCCACCTTGTTCCCCCCAATCCCCAGGATGTGCTTCCCCTTGCCCCCAGACCCCTACTAACTTCCAGGCCCCCATCTGATCCACATATGCTGCCTCCTAATCCTTACCTGATCCCACCTGCAGCTCCTCTTCCACCCCTTGGTCTCATCCCTGTATGATCCCCAACACACACAGCTGCAAATCCCCATCCAAAGCTGCCACCATATCCTGCGCCTTGTCATCCTGGGAGTGCACTGATGTCCCATCCACCGCCTGATCTCTGATGGATGCTGCTGCTCCATCTCTGACCCAATTCCCACACATGCTGCTGCCTTATCCGCTGCCTGATCCCTGACCCTAGCCACTGCCCTGACCTAAACTCACTACAGCTGCTACTGACTCTTTTGCTGCCCACTCCAGGTAACAGCAGCGGCAGCAGCAGCTCTGGCTTAACTCTGGCCTGGGGCAGATGGAGGCTCCAGCTCTGGGGCCAGGGGCTGGAGCTGTGTACTGGCACTTAAATCCAAGATGAAGCTTGTTTTTCCCCCCCATGTTGAAAAAGTCACCCGTCCCCCACCCCATTTTGGAGTCAGGTGAATATGGCAGTAACTGAGAATGCTAAAACGTGGGAAAGAGACTAGTACGGTTATGAAAGCTCAAGGAAAGGAGCATTCTGGCTGATAAAAAGGAAAAAGGATAGAGGTCTTCCGAATGTTATGAGAAAAACTTGTTTCAGATTCCTACCTGATTTGCTCTTTCAAGGTCTGTCATGATCATCTCAATTTCATCAGCCCTAGGAAAACAAAGCAGCACAAACACTGTTACTTAACGGTGAAATAACATCTATAGGTTCTACATGTTGAGTATACTGTACATTTTTTTGACATTTATACAATTGAAACAATGTTTTAAAAGGGATCTGGAAAGACTGAAAGATCAAACTCTTAACTTATTAGCTCCGATTCAGACTCACTCGTGCATATGGTTTTGTATTTCTCAGGCCACTGACAGATGTTTAAAAAGAAAGTGTGATGGGATCTGAGGCACAATCCCAACAATCACGCACCTTGCCATGCCACACAATCGTCAGATCCCATTATGCCACACTGCTAGCGCAGGGGGAGCCCACAATCCCGGGCTCCTTCTGCACTGGCAATCTTTGGTGCGAGCCCCATCAGCTGACACAGCATGGGAGCGCATGGTGTGCTCCTATGGCTGGGAGCTCCAGTCAGTGAGGGGGCTCCGGCCACAGGGCCAGAGGGTGCCTTCTTTGCAGCTGGAAGGTCTGAACACTGAAGAGGCTCCCAACCATGGGTTGCACCATGAGATCCCATGGTTGGCAGGCCTATCAGTGGGGATCTACTGAAAATGTGATTTCACAAAATCCAGTATTGCCTGCAAAATTCATCGGGGGGGATGACGACAACAACAAAAAAAACTTTACAGAAAATAAAATGCTGGTTCCCCAGAAGGAGCTAGTAGTCCATAAGGAGCTGTGGCCCCCCTGACCACAGCACCCTGGGAGGTCACCCAAGTCACCCATCCCTAAGACCAGGCATGACCACTGTGCAAGTTCACCTGCTTGCACTTCAGAGGAGCTGGGACCAAGGAGCAGTCGCCGCTGCATAGAACCCAGGTGAGGGCAGATTTCTGGGGGGGGGGGGGGGGGGGGGGGG